CGACCCCACGCGCAGTCAGAAATCCACGTATAACTTTTGATTCTCCCAAAACTTAACTACTAATAGCCTATTGTTGGCTGGAAGCCTTGCCAATAATGTAGTCAATCAACACATATTTTGTATGTTATGCGTATCATATACTGTATTCTCACAATAAAGTAAGCTAGAGAAAATAAAGGTTATTGAAGAACATAAGGAAATTATATTTATAGGATTGTACTTATCAGAACAACCCACATGGACCCGCATAGTTTTTTTTTTAAGATTTTCTTTTTAAGTAATCTCTACACACAATGTGGGGCTCGAACTCACAACCCCGAGACCAAGAGTCACACGCTCCACCGCTCCACTGACTGAACCAGCCAAGTTTAAAACTATGTTATTCAAGAGTCGGCTGTCGCTAGACATGGCAGTCACAGAGATGCCTTTCAGATGACCCTTCAAGAGGCCAAGAAGCACGTGAAAAGATAGTCAACATCGCTAATTGGAGAAATGTCAGTCAAGCCACAAGGGGAGAATATCTGGCCCAGCCATTAGGATGGCGATTCTTCAAACAAAAACAAAACCCAGAAACTAAGAAGCCTTGCAGAGGATGCGGACAATTGGAACCCTCGTGCTTTGCTGGTAGGAATGTAAAACGGTGCAGCTCATGTGAAAAACAGTATGGTGTTGCTCAAAAAATTAAAAATACTGGGGCGCCTGGGTGGCTTAGTCGGTTAAGCGTTCGGCTTTGGCTCAGGTCATGATCTCGCGGTTTGTGGGTTCGAGCCCCGCGTCGAGCTCTGTGCTGACAGCTCGGGGCCTGGAGCCTGCTTCGTATTCTGTGTCTCCCTCTCTCTCTGCCCCTCCCCTGCTCATACTCTGTTTCTCTCTGTCTCAAAAATAAATAAAACATTAAAAAAAAAAATACAATAGCCACATGATCCCACAATTCCACTTTCGGGCATAGAGCCGAAAGAAAGCAGGATCTGGAAGAGATCTTTGTATACCTATGTTCATAGCAGCATTATTTACTCTAGCCAAAAGGTGGAAGCAACCCAAATGTTCATCCACAGATGAATGGATAAGCAGAATGTAGCCTAGCCCTACGGCGGAATGAATTTCTGACAGTTGCTACAACATGCATGAATCTGAGAACGTGATGCTAAGCGAAAGAAGCCAATCATAAAAAGGCAAGTGCTCAGGGCGCCCGGGTGGCTCAGTCGGTTGAGCGTCTGACTTCGGCCCAGGTCATGATCTCACAGTTCGTGAGTTCGAGCCCCGCCTCGGGTTCTGTTCTGACAGCTCAGAGCCTGCTTCAGATTCTGTGTCTCCCTCTCTCTCTGCCTCCTCCCCACTCATGCTCTGTCTCTCTCTGTCTTAAAAATAAATAAAACGTTAAAAAAAAACAAGGCAAGCGTTCTACGGTTCTGCTTACACGAGGTGCCTGGAATAGTGAAATCCATAGAGGCAGAAAGCAGAACAGTGGTTACCAGGAGCAGGGGGCTGGGCTGGGGGAGTTTTTATTTAATGGAGACAGAGTTTTAATTTTGCAAGATAAAAAAAAAAGTTCTGGTGGTTGGTTGCACAACAATGTAAATACACTTAACACTATGGGGCTGTATGCTTAGAAATTAAATGGCAATCAGAATTTAAATGGTAAATTTTATGTTTCCTCTGACCACAATTAACAATTAAAAAAAAAAAAAAAAAGGAAAGCACTGGCCGGTCAGTGCGAGGGTTGTGGTTCGCTGACTGCCCCTAGCTTCAGCACCTTTGGATTCCGCACAGCATTCTTGCCAGGGCACACTTCCCAGGGGCTCTCAGCTGATGACTGAGCACAGCAGGGAGACGAGGACCACGCCATTTGCGTCCTCCACGGGACAGCTCTAAGGGGCAACCTGCTCTGGGTCCTCCCCTCCTCCGTGGTCAAGCGCACGCTGTAGTCTGAGGCTCTCAGTTCCTGTTTCTTTCCTTTCCTTTCTAACATGTCAAATCTGCATCCTGGTCTGAAGGCGAGTTTCTCTGCCCAGCGTTGCTTCCTCCTTCTCTGTGACTCACAGGTGTATCTCCACTAACCCCCTTTGCGCTCCTAAGTTGGTCTGACCCTTTGCTCACCAGAGGACCTAACTAACACAAGACACGTGTAAATATATGCTCACTGTGAAAAATTGTAAATGTTCCTTGAGTAGGTATAAGAGGTGAGAGATCCTCCCCCTGCAGTCCCGCCATTACCCCAGAAACAGCTAATGCTGGCAGCTTGATGTAACCTACCTACACCCGCACTCATCTAGTAGCCACCAGCACGCGAGTGCTTGAAATGTGGCTAGTCCTAACCAAATTATAAGTGCACACTGGAATTCAAAAATGAGAATATAAGCTGTCTCTCTAATGATACTTCTACTGATTACCTGTTAAAATGATGTTTAGAATGTGCTGGGTTGATTCTATTTAGAATAAATGATTAAAATTAGCTTCGCTGGTTTATTTTTACTTTTTTAATGTGGTTACTATAAAACTTAAGATGACACATGTGGCTGACATCCTCTTTTTATGGAACATCACTGCTCTAGATCAGTGTGGTCTGACAGAACTTTCTACAGTGATGGAAATGTTCTGTATCCACACTGTCGGATATGCGAGCCACTAGCTGTCACATCTATGGAGCACTTGAAATGCAGCTGATCTGACTGGGAAACCGAGTTTTTAAATTCTAAAAATTGGAATGAATTAAGTTGACCTTTATACAGCCAGCCGCAAAGGACCAGAGGCCACCATGCTGGCAGCCACGGTGCCTCCTGGATGTTCACGTATGTACACACTTCCACGCACATATTTACATTTGACCGAGGTATAAACATGTTATACCTTCTATGTTAAGGTGCACAGATCTCTGTTGTACACCTTGATGGATTTTCATAAACGTGTAACTCTATAACCACCATCAAGATAAAGATATAAGACATTCCCAGCACTCCAGGAGACTCCCTCATGCCCTATCCCAATCAGTAATAACTTCCCCCATAAGAAAGCTCTATTTTGACCCTTATCATTGTCACAGGTCAATGCTGCTTGTCCTAGAATTTCCCATAAATTAAAATGTGTAGACTGTACTCTTTGAGTCCGGTTTCTTTGCTCATCATCATATCTGAGAGATTCAACCACATTGTTAAATATGGTAGTAGGTTTCTTCTTTTTTCTTTCTAAACACACGCATATGTATTTTAATTTTTTTAATGTTTATTATTTTTGAGAGAGAGAGACAGTGTGCAAGCAGGGGAGGGGCAGAATGAGAGGGAGACACAGAATCCGAAGCAGCTCCAGGCTCTGAGCTGTCAGCACAGAGCCCGATGTGGGGCTCGAACTCATGAACCGTGAGATCATTTCCGGAGCCAAAGTCGGACGCTTAACCGACTGAGCCACCCAGGTGCCCCTCCACACAGATGCATTTTATAAACTTTTAATTTAAGAACAACTTCAGATTTGGGGCACCTGGGAGAACACTACTTTATCTGCTTTGGCCACTGGGGAGCCTTTAGGTGGCTCCAGTGTCCCTGTGACATCATCATCATTGTTTTTTGTTTTGCTTTGTTTTTAGCCCTTCCTTACTTTCTGGCACTACAAGTCGCTCCAAGCTCACCTTGTGTATTTCTTGCCCCAGTGCTAGAACTGCCATTTCTCCAAGGAGCACTTTTTTTTTTTTTTTTTTTTATGTTTATTTTTGAGAGAGTACAAACGGGGGAGGGGCACAGAGAGAGGGGGACAGAGGATCCGAAGCCAGCTCTGCGCTGACAGCAGAGAGCCTCATGCGGACTCAAACTCACGAACCATGAGATCATGACCTGTGCTGAAATCGGACGCTTAACTGACTGAGCCACCCAGGTGCCCTGGCACTGGTTACTTTCATTAGAGGATGATACCAGAAAACAAGATCTGGGTGCTAGGTTGTGCTGGTTGCTACTGAGGTGCACATGAATATTTAACAAAACTTTTCTTAACGTGGTAAACACATATGCATATTTACGATTTCAACTCTTCTTAGGTGTGCAGTGCAGTGGCATTAGGTGCATTCACAATGCTGTGGAACCATCACCCTCCTTCTCCAGAACTTGTTCATCCTCCTGAACTGAACCTCTGCATCCATGAAACACTAACATTACACCCCCAACATTCTACTTTCTGTCTCTGTGAACTTGACTATTCTAGGTCCCTCATGTAAATAAATGGAATCATACGATATTTGTTCTTTTGGGCCAGCTTACTTCACTTAGCACAATGTCTCCTAGGTTAATCCGTGTTATGGCAATGATCAGAATTTCCTTCCTTTTTTTTAATTTTTATTTTTTTAATTTTAAGTAGGCTTCATGCCCAGCATGGAACCCAATGTGGGGCTTGAACTTGCAATCCTGAGATCAAGACATGAGCTGAAATCAAGAGTCAGACACTTAACCGACTGAGCAACCCAGGTGCCCCATTAATACTTTTTTAAGAGAGAAAGAGAGGGCACACACAAGTTGGGGAGGCGCAGAGAGAGGGAGAGAGAGCATCTCAAGCAGGCTCCACCCTGTCAGAGCAGAGCCCGATGTGGGGCTCAATCCCAACTTTGGGATCATGACCTGAGCCGAAATCAAGAGTTGGTTGCTCAACCGACTGAGTCACCCAGGTGCTCCATACATGTTTATTAATAATATATTTTTAGAAAACATACTATGAAGAAAGCTGTAGATATTTAGAAACTATGTTCACCTACCTAATAAAGATTCAATAAAGGGGCACTCAGGATGGCTCAGTCAGTTAAGCATCCAACTCTTGATTTCAGCTCAGGTCATGATCTCATGGTTCACGGGATCGAGCCCCAGGTCGGGTTCCTCTCTCACTCCTTGGGATTCTCTCTCTCACTCTCTCTTTGCCCCATCCCAGCTCACACACTCTCTGCTTCTCAAAATAAATACATAAAAACTTAAATTTAATGAAGACTAGATAACAGTAATACCGTTCTTAGTAATTAGAGATAAACTTACCTTCTAAGGATAAGATTACATTGAAGATACCAGTTGCAAAAATCATCCACTTGTAAGGATTAATCAGAAAATGAGTGGCTTAAGAAAACCACCAGACACCCACCATCAAATTTAAGCACAACTGTATCGAAGAATTTCAAGGTGTAACACAATCAAGTTGTAATCTACTGGAATATAAGCACCTATGAAAAAAGAAACATACCATAATCAGAATGCATACATCTGTTCTACAAATATTTATTGACCACCTCGTTCTCTCTTCCCTCCTACACCCAAGTTTTAAATCTGGGCTTCTTAACCATGACTCTAACGGGCAGGAGTCTTTTAGTATGCTTCAAGAATCATTTGGGGACTTGCAAAAGATGCAAATTTCCAGAGATTCTGAGCTCTCAGATCCCAGCGGGGCCCAGAAAATGGCATTTTAACAAGTTCCCACATGATTCTAAAGTCAAAGGCCCCAAGCTCAATTTAAAAAGCTATTTTGCTTGTGTCGAAAGTGAATTTATTAAATTTAGGGGTTGGGAAAATGTACAAAATTTCATGTTGTTAAAGAAAAATTTCAGGAGTGAGCCTATGAGCAAGGACAAATCTTTATTTAGGTTTGCAAACCCAGAAGAATTTGGATTTGCAAATCCAAATCAGTTGGTGTTCCTGTCCAAAGAGGACAAGGAGACGTGGTATTTTTAAGACTTATTTTATTTTTAAGGCTTAAAACTACAGCGAGAGAGAAATTTCAGTTGGTATGGGTCACTCAGCGACTGGCTGACTGCTTTTGCTCAGTATTGTGAGACAGGTGGAACTTTCCAGGTGTCTAAACACCAAGACGTTTATCATGCTTCCAGGAAGTGGCTGCTCTCTGGAAAACTCCATAAAATGGTGGCTGTTGCAAGATGGAGTCAGGGTTGTCAACTCTTCCCTGGCCCCTTCTCTGCTTCATTTCCCATTGATCAGTTATGGTGGGGGAAATTCATTACAGTGGAGTCCTTCCTTGCCCAAGTCCTTCCTTCCTCTGCTCATACTCTTGTCTCTCTCTTAAAATAAATATTTATTAAAAATTTTTTTTAAATATTTTTAAGAGAGGAGAGAGAGAGAGAGAGAGAGAGAGAGAGAGAGAATGCAAGCAGGGGAGGGACAAAAAGAGGAAGATGCAGAATTAAAAGCAGGTTCCAGGCTCTGGGCTGTCAGCATAGAGCCCGACACGGGGCTTGAACTCATGA